ATTTCATTGCATCAGAAATGTGGTGCTTTGATGGATTTTATTTTATTTTATTTTATTCACCAAAATTAATTTTACTCTCACTAGAGTGTAATAAATTGAGCACCAAAGGGAGGAAGCAATGCTGATTATTCTGTCTCTCTCAACCATTTCTGCTGCTGTGTCCTGACCTGGTTATTCCTTTCAATCCTCAAAGCTTTCACTGTTCTTGCTGTAAAAAGAGGACAATAAAAATAATCAGTAAAACCTGAATGGGGGTAAAACTCATCAGCGCACACCCTGCTAATTGTGCTAATTGTGTTAATGCTGCTAATTGTGCTAATTCTGAAGAGAAACAAACWCAAAAAGAACCTTCAAAACATCTCCCCTTCACCACATCACAGTGTCCAGATAAATTAAACCCTTCCAGGGATCCAGGGGCAGCCACAGCTTCTCTGGGCAGCCTCAGTCCCCTCAAGGGAAAAATTCCTCCCTAAAATCCACCCCTTTTCCTGTTTAAAACCATTTCTCCTCACCCTGTGCCCAAATTCCCTGACACAGAGACCCTCCCCATGCTCTGTAGACCCTCTTTAGGCTGCTCTGAGATCTTCTGGAGCCATAAACATCCATTTCAGCCTTCCCAGGTGAGGCAGTGTTAGATGGAAATCAGGGATTTTTGCCCCATTTTGGCCACTTGGGTTACAACTGCTACCAGTGGGCCTGGCAGGACATTTCARACTGAAATTGGGAATTTTCTTAGGAACTCGTGCTGCAATGTGTGAACTGGTGTTGATGTCCATCAGGGTGATCCCATCATTTTCACCTCCAAGGGGAGCAGCCCCAAATCCTTGACTGAGTCCTGAACAGCCCCAAATCCTTGACTGCATCCCAAAAAGCCCAAAATCCTTGACTGAGTCCCAAACAGCCCCAAATCCTTGATTGAATCCCAAACAGCCCCAAATCCTTGACTGAATCCTGAACAGCCCCAAATCCTTGACTGTGTCCCAAAAAGCCCCAAATCTCTGATTGACTTCTGAATCCCAAACAGCCCCAAATCCTTGACTGAGTCCT